CCTATTAAGAGGCTCTCCTGTGGCACCCACTCTAGATAATGCATACAGTCTCTTTTTTCCTACAGGATGAATTTTTAGATGTGATCTATTGGTTCCGACAGATCATCGCTGTGGTCCTAGGTGTCATTTGGGGAGTGTTACCATTGCGAGGTTTTTTGGGAATAGCAGGGTAAGTCTTGGGTATTTTGCATTTTTGTGATATCATTTCTTTTCAAACTGAGATTTTGTTTCCCTTTTATGCTACATTGGAAGATTTTGTGTGTGTGTGTGTGTGTGTAATGACTAAAGCAAAAAGGTGGCCTCATGATGGCACTCCTGGGTTTGATGTAGCACTCCTAGGTTCAGCAAGCCCAGGAGCATCTTAGGCCAAGAATGTTAACTTCCTGAAGGCTGGGCCAGTCCATTCGTTCATGGGTCCAAAGTGGTCTCAGGCAAGAAGCTGCCACATGCCTGTTGTTGGCAGGGATCATCTAGTTCTAGCCTGACCTTTGTATAGAAGTTTGGAAAGTGGAGGAGCTATTGTACTTGATGACCAGTTGTGTCTGCCACTATGCTGGATGTGCCGAATCTTGGTTTTTCAGAAGTTGTTTCAGGTCTCTGCATTTTAAAGGCAGTGAAAAAGTAGAAGGTTGGGCCCCCCTACCTTTACCGTGCTCCTGTGCCCAGTGTAAACAGTTAACACCAGTCCCTGGTCATGGCTCAGCTTAACAAGCCACTGAAAGTGGGTCCACATGCCCACCAGATTGAATTAAAAGGATGTGTGGGGTTATCTTAAGATAGGAATTGTGGGCAAGCTATGGTGGAAGCCTATGATGTTTTATCTTTTCACGCAGGAAATACAAACTGTCACACCTACCATGGGAAATCACATTGATTTCTTTTTAGGGGTGATCACATCTCTTATTCCATCACCCTAGGGTTAAAAGAGTGAAATAGATATCAAACTCATTTGAGTTGCTTGTTTTCTCAGAAGATATCTCATAAGAAACATATCTCTCCTAACCAAAAAGGTTTTTGATTTATGATAGCAAAGCATTTGTACAAGGAAGCCAGTAAGGGTTCATCCTCTGCCTAACTTTGGCAGAGTGGACACTTGATGAGGGATGGTTGAAGGTGATGAGACAGAGGACCTGGGGCTCATGGAGGTCTTCCTAGGTTGGAGGTGGTATATAGATAATATTTTTAGAATGCTGGTCACTCATTTGAACTTACTATGAGAGAAAAGGCAGACAAGAGGAAAATATCAGAGGTAGGGTTAAGGCATTCTAAGGGCAAGAGGGAGTTTTTCATCTTCTAAGGCCACTTGTCTAGAAGATAACACGGTTCAGAGCCCCCTGCACCTATCATGTCTTAGAGGATTCTTCAGGAGTTCTCTGAAGCCACCCAATCTGGAATAATATAGCAAGGACTAGAGCTAGTCTAGTTTCCTTCTCACTGTGGTAGATGAGTTAAGCTGCCCAAACAGACCTGTCTTTAAAAAAACAAACAAACAAACAAAACTTTATGGAAAGGTCTGGATTCAAATTCCAGCTCTGCCACTTTCAGACTACATAATTTTGGGCTCACCTCTCTGAGACTCAGTTTCTTCATCATTAAAATGAGGACAATAAAAATGTCTTTTTCATAAAATTGATGTATGAATTAAATGAGATAATGCCAGTAAATTGTTAAATGTAGTGCTTAGTACATCGTAAGTGGTTTACTGCCATTATTATATGATTAGCTTTACCAAGAGTGGTAAAATATGGCTATTGAAAAAAAACAGGAAGTGAGGTATTCGGGGGTGAATTTGCCTTGGAGTGTCTCACCCAGAGTCTTAGCGCTGCTTTCTCAGCACTCCTTCCTGGGGTTCAGTCCCACACTGTCTTGCCAGAGCCCAAACTCAAATCCCTTCCCTCCTTTGGTTGGCACCTTTTCCCCTGCTCTGGGAAAGGGCCCAAGGACATTGATTTTTCCACACACCTCTCCCCTCCATCTGTCTGACCCAGCTTCCTGGACTTGAGGGCAAAACTGCTCTGGTGCTCCATTCTGGTGACCCTTTCCTCCCCACCTCCTGCCTTAGCTGCCCTCTGCCTCAACCCCAGCTTGGCTTCATTTCTGGTATGGCCACCAGTTAGAGCCCATCAAGGTAAAACCATTTCCTTGGGTCTCATAATTTTCCTGAGAACTGAGTGATGGCTCTGTTCTGTCTGCTGAGGTTTTGCATTATCAGAAGGGCCCTGTCCACTCCTTTCTGCCTGTCTCTGTCATAGAGCTTGGCACATGATCAGTTGGTTCTCAGTGAATGATTCCCATTGACACTTGAAAGCCGGACCATACATTACTGTTGTGTAGCTTTCCAGCCCTGAGGTCAGAATATGTTAAGAGATCCCTATTTTTGTTAAAATTCTGACAGGAGTTTTTAGGATAGAATTTTTAAAAACCCATTTGAGAGTCAGTCTTCCTCAACTCCCAGTCTAGCATATTCATTTGTCTACACATTTGTGTGTAGTTCTCTCCCTCATTTACAATGTAGAAATTATGCTTATCCTTAAAGCTCCGTTTGAGCCCTTCCAGTCCTTTCTGGACCTGTCCCTCTTGACCACCAAACATTTAAATGCCTTTGTTTCTGTGACTTGACTTTCTACTTAGTGTGTAACCCTTATAAGGCAGGGTTATGTCAGCCCTTTTCTTTCTCACTGACATTTCCTTATAACACCTTTCCCTTGTATTTCCCTGTCTCATCTCACTAAGCAGCCACTCTTACAGCCAGAAACTCTATGTGATTCACAAGTCATTCTCCAGCCCCCACTTATTAGTTGTGTCCCAGAGTGACATTTCAAAGTATCATTAGTAGTCTCTCTCTAGAGCCACTAACTCAGTCTGTCCAAAATGAAACTCTTGTCAAAGAGAGGTAACTAGATTGTCCAGGTCCCAAGACTTCTGGCAGAAAATAAGATGTGGCCACAACATGGCCAAGCTAAGGGACTCTTTCATGTAGAATCCAAGAAAAACTATCTGTTCTTCCTGGCTCCCTGCTTCTGTTACTGGAACCATTGTACTCCCAGGCTCTTAGGCTGGAAGCCTTTGGGGCCTTTTCCTTCCCTATTCAGCCATTGTTTTCATCCCTGTCCTCAAACTTTATTTGCGCTCATTTCCTGAAACAGTACAGGTCTAAACCAGTCTCCCAGCTATGGTTCCTTCTATTCAGGAGAAAGCCCACACTCTCACTACTTACAAACTAGACTTTCTCAAGTGTGCACACTTAACTCACCCCTATGCTGCTCAGAGAGCCACAGGTCTGCCCCCCACCTTTATAGACTAATTTACACTTCTCAGCATCATTGAACTGCCCTGCCCTACACCAGCCCACACTTGATCCATTAGGAAGAGCCAGTTCTCTTTGCATTTTTCCACCTCAGCCTTCAGAAGTTATATGACCGAAGACATTCAGTCCCCCATTAGATATTGTAACTGGAAAGATCTAAAGTCTTGATCCCTTTATGAAAGTTACTTTTTCATAATGATGGTACCAAGAGATCAGTAGAGCTGGGTAATACATTACTGCTCACTGCATTCTAATTCTTGCATCAGTTAAATAACACATAATGGGGGCCAAAGACCATCCTGAAGGTACTCTGGGGGCCAAATACATTACTGCTCACTGCATTCTAATTCTTGCATCAGTTAAATAACACATAATGGGGGCCAAAGACCATCCTGAAGGTACTCTGGGGGCCAAATACATTACTGCTCACTGCATTCTAATTCTTGCATCAGTTAAATAACACATAATGGGGGCCAAAGACCATCCTGAAGGTAGTCACAAACCTCTGGTTTCAATTCTACTCTCACTGCTGATTTTAGCCCCTATTAGATGGCAAGCTGGGGCAGGAACTGTCATTTTCACCTTTGCATCAAGTGCAGTAGCAGACAGTAGACATCCAGAAATTCCATTAAGAATTATGCAGGGGCTGCTTTAGTATGCCCTTGCTTGCTCAAGTAGGCCATGCAGCAACAGCTTAACATATGCTTGTCCCATGGCCACTCCCCACCTCATCTAGAGCTACCTGGAGACCCATGTCAGATACTAGTCCTATTTGGGGTGGCTCAGCAGCCAAAGGGGCTTGGAGAATTTACGTCTGCTTTTTAGTTTATTTTTGCTTTGGCTGGGCAACTAAGAAAGAGTTGTTTCTTCTTTAAATCTCTAGTTCAGCCAGCTCCTTTGAGGGCCTAAGCATTTTCATGTATTATTTCATTTGCTTCCATAATAGAAACAATTAACTTTGCAACAGTGAGGACTGTGGTGTAAGGAGTGCTGAGTCTTCTAAGCTTACAGTTTATGTTTGGTGCTTGTCTTCCCCTACTCCAGATTCTGCCTGATCAATGCAGGGGTCCTGTACCTCTACTTCAGCAACTACCTACAGATAGATGAGGAGGAATACGGTGGCACATGGGAGCTCACAAAAGAAGGGTTTATGACATCTTTTGCCTTGTTCATGGTATGTGTAACTGAAAGTTTTACAGCAAGTATTATCATTTCATTTTACAGCATGTATTGAGTCACTCAAGGGGAGCCTACTGATTGAGCTACACTGTCATTTGGGTACCATTTTTCAAAAGGCTCCTGAGGTTAGAGAGCATGTCTACTACTCTTGAGTACATTGTCCCAAACGATATGGTGTGATATACTCTATAGTTTCCCTGTGCTGTGCACATCTAGGGCCTATTGTCAGCTCCTACATCTGATTCTCAATTCCGGCTACATATTAGAAACAACTGGGAAACATTTAAAAATATTCATAGCATTATTCATAATAGTCAAAAAGTACAGTCATCACCTGATGAATGGGTAAGTAAAATGTCATATATCCGTACAGAATATTATTTGACAGGAAAAGGAATGAAGAAGTACTGATATGTGCTACAATATGGATGAACCTTGAAAACATTATGCTAAGTACAAGTATCCAGACAAAAGACCACATGTTGTGTGATTCCATTTTTGTGAAATGTCCAGAATAGGAAAATACATACATACAGAAAGTTAGATTAGTGCCTGCCAGTGGCTGTGGGGGATGGAAAAGGGGAAATAACTGATAATAATAACAGATTTTCTTTTGAGGGTGATGAAAATATTCCAGAATCAGTTAATAGTGATATTTGCACACCACTGTGAATATACTAAAAACCTCTAAATTACATACTTTATGGAACATAAATTATATATCAAAGTTTTTTTAAAACTTACAGACCCTAGCCCAAACCAATACAATAAAAACCTCCGGGAGGTGGCACTTGGGCATCTACACATATAGTTTTTAAGGTCCTAGGAGATGCAATAGGCAACCAGTTTTGAGAATCTGCTATATTTGATATGGCACTGACAGAGTGTGATGGTGGTTTTGTTTTCACATTTGTTGTTGATCCGAACACCTAGCAATACAGTCTGCTTCACCTGTATTGTCTCCACATCCATAACACCACTCCGTGGATTGGCAGTGGAGGCTTGTCTGGGGTCCCTGCGGGAGCACAGGTGGGTGGTCCTGGGCTCTGTTAGAGACAGCTTCGTTTCTGTGAAATTTAGGTCCCCAAGCAAGTTATGCATTGGATAGTCCCTGGGAAGCCCACTGTGCACACATCTTATCTGACCCTGTTTTGTGGACTAGGGGCCTACATTGACCAGGTGACCTATGAACATCGCTTGTCTCCTCTCTAGGTCATCTGGATCATATTTTACACTGCCATCCACTATGACTGATGGCGTATTGGTCCCTGTCCGGTCCAAAGGACCCTCTTAGTTACAGCACAGAAACATGATTATAGGGGTACCCCCAGCCACATGGAACCTGGAAGACCATGTTTCCTGGACCGAGAATCAGTGTGTTGGGCGTCAGTTTTCTGCAAGAGTTGTGACCTGAAACTTTTTAAAGAACCATCCATCTTTTGGGGAAGGATTTCTGAATTGTCCATCACCAACCATTTCTTCTTGGATACCATCGTGAAACACCTGTTTGCCGATTGGAGCTGTTGTTTAAGTTGAGGCACCTCTGGATCCAGATGAAACATTAAATTGTCTTCCTCACTTCTCCATCAGGTGTACAGTTTTTAAACTATCAATGGCAATTCAAGTCTTCTGAAAACAGTATGGCAGTATGTGTGTGGTCCATAACACAGTACAAGCAGCATCTAATAAGTTTCCATTGTGGAATATTTTCAGATACTTGAATAAATCAGATCTTTAATTGACAACCTGTTGGTGATACCTGGTAAAGCCTATCCCACCTCCCTCTAGCCTGAGAACCTAGTAGGAACACTAGAGTTGGTGCCCTCCCATCCCCATCTCTCTTCCCCTTCCTCTCCCTGCTCCCTTAGCACCTCCAGCCAGGCCTCTTTTCCCTTATGGGTTTAGGCTGTGGCCTTGGCTTTGTGGATGAGGGTTTACCACTTTCTGATGCCTTGGTGCTCCTTCCCAGCACTGAGAGCCTCACATGACTGACCTTCCTGCAGTGTGCCTAGCTCAAAAGGTGTCATTTCACATTTGGCCACAAGATGGCAAGGCCATTGTAGCTGGTAAGGTTTGGCCAGGTCCAAATGATAAGCCACAAAATGAAATAGAGATCTGAAAGCTACAACTGTCCAGAGAAGGAGCTTGATGGGGACATTTGAGGGCCTAGACTGTCCAAGGTCCTTCTCTTTGTTCTGGTGCCGGTGGGGAGGTGGGGGGCTGGACAGCCCAGGTTCTGCTGCTGTGGTGAGCCATCCATCTCCTCTAGACCACAGTCCTACGTTCTAAGGTATGGTCTTATTCCGAGTGAAGCTCGTACATTTTCTTTAAAGGATTTTTTTTCTCTTTGATGCCAGTGGTTGTTTCCACCTTGTGGGTGGGGCTGGTTGGCAGTGTTGCGGGGGAGGTGGTGTTTGAATGGGACTCAGCTGGCAGAGGAGAGAGTGCTGAGAATCCCAAACTCAGGCACTGACTATATCAGACCCCAGAGAAAGGTTAGTCTCTCTTGGGGGCCCTGGCCCTGCTCTCAGTTGGTCTGTACTTAAACTAGAGGTTGCAAGTTGGGTCATGACACTGGGGCTGAGATGAAGAAGCAGAGGATATGGGTGGGACCCTGAATGTGCTCTGGGCCCCTGCCCTCCCCTCAGTGTACGCCTTGCCTTGGGGGTGCTCAGGCTGAGATGAGTTGGGGTTCTAGGTGCTGCAGCCTTGGTTCCCCTTTTGGCCTCTGCTTGGAGCTTTGATATCATCCAAGGAAACATCATCAGTTAGGGTAATGTAGGAGGTGAGGGCTTCCCGGATCCCCTCGCTGAGGAGAGATGCCTCTCCTATGGCAGATGCTTCAGAGAACAAGAGGGAGCTATGGAGAGGGGAAAAGGGCTTGGTCAAGGAGCTTTGCCCTCCCTGCACTCACCTACTCAAGTTTTAAAACCAAAAAAAACTGAAAACTCACAGTGGCTCCCCATTCCCTGTCAGATCAAACCCCAGCTTGACTTCACTCAGGACCGGTGTGCTCTCTGTTCAGTCCCATCTTGTCTGACCTTACTTCCATCCTGGCCACCTTGGTGTCCAGGCATGCCCAATGTCCAAGCCTGCTTTCTTCCCTGCTGGTACCCACTACATACCTGCTGAGCCTGGGCTGGCCTCTACGAACTCAATCAGTGCTCACTGCCCCGCCCCCTGCTCCCCCCGCTCCCCAGTCCCCAGTGTCCCTCAAGGTGACAGGCTCATTCTGGGTTGTGGATTCCCAGGAGTGAGTCCTAATTCTCTTTTGTTCCGCCTTCATGTTCTAGGGGTCCCCTCACCTGTCCAGCTCTTTCCAATTGAGTGGTGTTTGCTGCACAGTCACAGGTAGAGGTATGTTGTTGCCAGGGACTGGGCCATCTCTCTGCACGACACAGGGCTTCTTGAGGAGGCAGCAGATGTCATCCGCCAGCTCTGAGGAAGAGACCTGGACCCTTGACATGGTTGACTCTAGCCTCCCCCAAAATTCCCTCACCCCAAAAGATTTACACACTTGGCAGTTGTGGGCATGGTCTGAAAAGAGTGACAGGGCATGAGCCCCAAGCTGTTGGTCTTCTGGAAGCCAGGATGCAATCAGAGGTCATTCTGGGCTAGATTTCGGGAGACTTAAGTTACTATGATTTTGGGTAAGTTGATGGACCTCTTTGAGCCCAGTTTCTGGCTAGGAAAGCGCTAGGAAGAAGAAAGGTAAAGAATGCTCGATCTCTGCTGTACTGTCAGGATCAGGATCTCTGCTCTACTGTCTGAACAACCCCCCAGAAAACCCCTGATCAGTTTTCCCATTTTCCTTTCTTCCCCTTGACACTGTGCCCTAGTAACTATATCCGCCAGTGCTTGTTACTGGACAGGTACCAGGAAATGCTAAGAATCAACTAAATTACACAACAGCAACAGCTCTGGTCCTCGTTCTTTTGCAGAGAACTGTGCCGTGGGCTTTGACTCAGAACTACAGTGGTAGGCAAGTTACTGGCCTGTGCTTGCACGAGAGGTCTGTGTGGCTCTGTCAGGGCATGGGGTGAAGACAGGGCCCCTGGTCCCAGAGAATGGCATGAAGATAGGGGAGGCCCCTCTTCTATCTGTCTGGATATTCTTCGTAGGTTAAGTGTCTTTAGGGCACACTGTCTGCCCACCAGATCCCACAGCCCAGTCTACTCATGGAGGCAGGGAAAGGCCATACCAGAGTAATGGTCCACCAGGGCCTGGAGTGAGGGGAAAGTAAGGCGTGGCGAGATGTACAGCCAGCCATTGTCAAGGCACTGGATCCTGTAGTGTCTGATCCGGTCCCAGGATGCAGGGCGGCTGAGGCGGACTGACAAGGAGTAACAGCCTAAGGAGAAAAGGGTCCAAGGTGGGATGGAAGAAGAGATGAGGGAGGTGGCCACAGAATGGCCCAGACAGAAGGGAAGTGGGCAGGGGAGGACAAAGACTTGATCTCTTGTTCATAAATGACAAATCATAATACACGGGCTTCCGGTAGTTTTCAGCAGATGAGGATGAATATGAGAGCCCTTGATAACTGTGAAGTGGGATTCATTTCTTAAGTCAACGCTTCATCAAAGCCAAATGGGAAGAGGGTGCTTAGTGAAATAATAGTAATAATCTATTATTACTCTCATCTAATGATCTAAAGCTATCTGTAGCTTTCATTTATTGAGTGCGTACTATGTGCTTTATATGATTATCTAATTCTCATAACCACCCTATGAGGCAGGTATAATTATCCCCATTTTACAGATGAGAAAACAATGTCACAGAGAACCTGGAAGAAGAGGCAGTTGACCCTGTCACTTAAACCTTTTCCTGTGGAATGCCAACAGAAGGCAGGAATCAATCCCAAACCACAGGCACTGCTCAGTTTTAAGAAGCATTTATTTTGAGGACATGATCTGAACATCCCCAATTAAATGGCAGAGATGTTCAAACTGGATTTTAAAAAGTAAGACCCAACTCCATGATAAATACACTTTCTATATAAAACATAGGCTAAAAGTTAAAAAAAATTGTATTATGCAAACAGTAATCACAGGAAAGCTGGAGTGGTTATATTGATATCAGACAAAGTAAAATTCAAGACCAAGAATATTACCAGAGATATGAGAGATATATCAAGAAGAAATAAAAATCCTGAATTTGTATGTACCCAATTATAGATTTAAAATATATGAAGCATAATTATAATTAGAGATTTCAACATTCCTCTCTCAGTATTTGATAGGACAAAATCAATAGGAATAGAAGATTGAACAATACAATCAACCAACTTTACTTAACATAGAACACTGTGCTTATCAATAACAAGCAAAGCATAGTGTGAGAAGCTGAGGTCAGTCTGAGGTTTTTCCCAGTATATAAAATATGTAAGGAGCCCCCTGTTGGCAAATGGCGCTAGACTCCAATTATTCATAAAATCTGGGCCCTCAGTTGATCATTAGGAGTTCATTTCAACAGATATATTTTTTCTAAGGGTTCAAATCAAATGAATCTTCCTTCCAAGGGTCCGCACCAATCTTAGAAGGAAAAATTCAGTCTTCGATCCCTGGATTATTTCCAAGTATTGGGGGATTGTCCAGATTCTTTTGTTATTATAATTTATTATTAATTCTGTTGTGGTCAGAGAATGTACCTTTTATGATTTCAATCTTTTAAAATTTGTTATGGCTCAGTCTATAGTCTTATCTCAAATATTCCATGTGAACTTGAAAGACACAAATTACCAATACTGACATAAGAAATAGAAATTTTGAATAGTCCTATATCTGTTACAGAAATTGAATTTATAACTTTCAAACTTCCCACAAAGACGACAGTCCAGTTGGCTTCACTAGTGAATTCTATCAAACATTTAAAGAAGAAATAACACCAATTTTACACAAACTCTTTAAGAAAATAGAAGCAGATGGAATACTTCTGCACCCTTTCTTTTCTTTTTTTTTTGTTTCTTTTGTTTTCTCTTTGTTTTTTCTTCCCCACCCATTTTACGAGGCTAGCATTGCCTTCATATAAAAACCAGACAAAAACATTACAAAAAACTATAGACCAATATCCCTCATATACATTAACAAAAAAATCCTTAACAAACTGTTAGCAAATTGAATCTAGCAAATATCAAAAGGATAATACATTATGGCCAAATTGGCTTTATCCCAGGAGTACAAGTTTATTTAAAACTTGAACATCAGTGTAATTCACAGTATTAATAGAATAAAAGAGAGAAACATGATCACCTAGAGAAATATGAAAAAATTGTTGGACATCTTTGTGGGGACTATTCTGCCTACCACAGGTACATCCTCTCAACCTGTCATAGAGTATCTGTGAAAAATCTGTATGTAACATCATACTTAATGGGAAAGACTGAATTTTTCCTTCTAAGATTGGTGTAGACCCTGAGAAGGAAGATTCATTTGATTTGAATCCTTAGAAAAAATATATCTGTTGAAATGAACTCCTAATGATCAACTGAGGGCCCAGATTTTATGAATAATTGGAGTCTAGCGCCATTTGCCAACAGGGGGCTCCTTACATATTTTATATACTGGGAAAAACCTCAGACTAACCTCGGCTTCTCACACTATGTTCTGCTTGTTTAGGATGAGTCAACCACTGTAGGGAAGCTCTGGTTTTGTCTTTTGACCAAATGGATTGAGACCTGCCCCATCCAATCAGAACTGCATAATTGAATCCTCATTTGCATCTATACCGACCAATCAAAACTGTATAAATTTGGAAACCTCATTTGCATGAGATTGGATCAATTGGGAACCTTCTCTATAAAAGGCAGCCTCCCTTTTGTCTTGGTAGACCATACTTTCAGTTTCTACTGGAGCCTGTGTTTCCCAGTTTGTAAATGGTTTCACCTGAATAAAGTCTTTTCCGCACCTCTGGAAATTTTTGTGGACATTGGAAACAAAGCAAAAATGTTCTCACCAGTTCACTTTTTGTACTAGAGGTCTTAGCTAGTGTAATAAGGCAAGAAAAATAAAAGGTATATGGATTGAATAATAAGTAGTTAAACTGTGTTTATAGATAATGTGATCATATATGTAGAAAATCCTAAGGAATCTACAAAAAAACTACTGGAATGAATAGGTGAGCTTAGCAAGACTATAGGATACAATATACTTTGAGAAGTCTGGAGTAGGGTCCCAGCTTCCTTTTCCTTGTTCTCTACCTGGTTCTGGAAGACTTTTGACTACTGTACCTTTAAGAAGATCTGGATCTGCGCTGTGACCCTGATAAAGCTCTGTGGTTGGAAAAGGGCTAAATATCTGAAAATAGGTACCAGAGGCCAACCAACCCAGCTAAACTAAGTGACCAAGTTCCTACATCCTCTGCATGATTCTTGAGCCACCCCACCCTGGCCACTGTCACCACAGTTACTAGAACCAGGAAGGGTAGCTATGCCGAGGATGTGGTTGATAGGCTCAGGGATAATAAACAAGCTCTGTCAAACCCATGTGGGGCTGTCAACCCCATTGTGGGGACAAGTCACCTACCACAGCCATCTGCGACTGGCCTATGTGCCTGGTATCCTGCTGTTCCTTCTCACTGCATGCTCTAGCCAGTCCCAGATACCTACTGCTCTTTCTCAGTTCCAGGACATCTCCCTTTTAACTCAGACTCCCTGCGTTCAAATTGCACACAGACCATGTACCATAACACCCCTGATGCCCCATGCTCACTAGATGTGTCTTTAAAGCACGTTATTTGACCTCTCAGATCTGTTTCCTCATCTGTAAAGAGGATAATAATTGTCCCAGTCTAACCAAATGATCATGAGGATTCAGATGGTGAAGCAGGTAAACCATTTAGCAGTGTCTGGCATGTAGCAAGCACCCAATAACCCATATTAGGCCCCTGGGTCCTTAGCTCATGCTGTTCCTTTTATATGGAACGCTGTTCCACCAGAGTAACCCCCAGCCTTCAGTGCTGCTCAGACAACTCCTCCAGAACACCTACACTGCTTGGGAGAAGACTCAGCTCTAGGTTTGCCCAGGTAAAGTGCTTTTGTGGTGCCAAGGGTCCTGCCATGGTCTGTCCCTCAACCCTACCCTTTACCCTCCCACACACATACACATACACCACAGTGAGCGTCTCGAGGGATGTCTCTGATTTATCCTCCCACCATCTTCCCATCTCAGAAAACGGCAGCACTGTTCATGCATTACTAAGCTCCTAACCCTGGAGTCAGCCCTGACTCCTACCATTCTCTCACACCTCACATCCAGCCCAACAAAAAGCCTACTGACCATATTCAGAACATATCCAGAATCTGACCACTTCTCACCCTGACGGAGCCTGCAACAACTTCCTATGTGGCTTCCCACTTCTACCTTACTTCCTGCCAAATCTTCACAGCAGTCGAGGTATTGGGTCATGTCACTTCCCTACTCAGAACCCTCCCTGTCACACTTAAATCCAAAGTCTTCACCCTGGAAAAGCTCCATCAGGCTTAGCCACTGTCACATCTTGGCCTGTAGGGACCTCTGGGGTCAGGTACCATGTTTTCCCTGGTGTTCTGATGATGATGCCAGGAGGAGGGGTGGGGTCTACAGTAGTGTGAAGGATCAGATTAGGAGCTGTGTGGGACAGGTGGACTGAGCAGGCCCCTCCTGAACTTCCTCTGCTGAGGTCTCTGAGAAGCTGATAGCCTTGGAGATGCTGCGCCTTGGACCCTCCACTGTGCAGCTTGAGGACAGGAATCACGACTTAGCAGTCCTGACTAAGAGATGCTCCATAAGTGTTTCTCAACTGACAGAAGGGACAGAGATGAGCCCCTGAATGGCAGGAACCAGGTCTTGCTCATCAATTTCTCTTAGAGTGTCTAACACAGAATAGACACAGAGTACAACAGCAGGCAGGCAAGTGGATGATGATGATGGGGCCTGGCCTTGGCACTGACATCTGGACCTTGGGCCAAAGAAAAGCTGGTCCTGATATCACTCGCTTAGTCAACAGTTAACTACTCTTATTTATATATGATAAGATGCATTCTGTATATGTAAAACACATTGTCTCTTATTACTTAATTCTGGGTTCCCTAGATTGGAAGCGTGTTTTCAAACTTAACATAAGAACCATCTGGAGAGCTTGTGAAGGATTTCCAACCTCTGTACCCAGCAGTCTGATTCGGTATGTCTGGGGTGGGGTCTGAGAGTCTGCACTGTCAAGAAGTGCCCCCGACATTTCCTGTACATTCAGATCTGAGAACCACTGCTCTAGGACGTCACTCAGGCCCCAAGAGCTGCAGTATCAAACTTTTTTTGACCACAAACCACAGTATGAAATTTTACACTATGACCCAGGATACAAATAAAAGTTTGATGAAACATATTTTCCCCAACCCTTGTGATGCAACCCCAATTTTTTTCTGCTATATTTCACTTCACTCACTGGTCCAGATCCACTAAATCAGGATTACAGGGCCCTGGGTTTCGATTCTGGCTGCACATCAGAATCACCTGGCGGGGCGGCGGGGGAGTGGGGACAAGGCTTTTACAGAATCTCTGGGGGTGGGTGCAGGCATCAGTGGCTGATAAAGCTCTC